GAAGCCTATATAAAACAACTGGAAAACATAAAGCTTTCAGAATTAATTCATTCATGAATTTAATCGCTATCTCAATTTTGCTATTAGCAGTTTCGAATATTGCAACATGTAAATTCATTTGTGGAAATCCTGATCCGATTCCCTTGGTACAATCAATCACTTTATGATGCATATTTCTCCTTTCATTTAGCAACATACAATAGAACTTCAACAGGATAACACTGTGAAAAGAAATGCTCAACCCGCAGCCTTGAAGTTTTACGTAACTTACCTTAGTGGCTTTTACAGCTTATATGAGCATCATAAAATCAAGGTAATTCATAACATTAAAATTAGATCGCCTACAACCTTAACACCACATTTTATTGAAGTTCTTAAGACAGATGCAAAGAAAAAAAGAGAAGGGGTTTATACATAACTATTTTTCCTGGAATATTTGATTAAATTAGAGTACATGATAGATGAATTTTTAATAACACTGCCACTGTTATTTGTGTAATAGCATTTAAATATGATATCAGTGCTATTTTTTATTATTACAAAATTTGACGTCTTCACTCGTCACTGATAAAGTTTCTGTGATTTTCTTTCTTGTAGACACTAGTTGAGAATGCAACAAGGTTGTGGGAAAGAGCATTGACAGTCAAGAAGCCAGGAACTGGGAAGCAGTTAGTAAAAAGGTAAGTATAAAATGCTCTCACTTTACGTTTTCGATTTCTCTTCGAAATCATCACTAGCCTTTCGATATATCTGCGTGAATCTAATAGTTACTTATTATTGTTATTATCGCAAATTTTCCAAAAATAAGGGTTACTAAACAAAGAATATTCTTTCTGATGACTTCATTATCAGGTTCTACAGTTATATGTACATGATAGTAGTGAATAAATTAATGTTATTAACAACATTAATGCTGTTTAAATAACATCGAATCCATAACAGTATCATTGGATTACAGTTCGATAGCATCACCATAATGATATACTGAATATCGGAAAAATTAGGAAAAATAATAATACGAATTCATGGATTTATAGTCTCTACTAAAGGTCGCCCAGGGCAGTAGTAGTAGCTGGACTTGCTTCTTTTGCGCACAAAGCACTGGTTGTTTCACGCGAATCGCGATAGCCTTTGCTGTTTGGAGCATACGTTACCTCGATTTTTTCGGCAGCCTATTTGGTAGCCGATAGATGATAGAGAAGGAGTAGCTTGCTGGAAATGCTTATGATGACTCACGCGTAAACTGTGTGCACTATACTGAAGTAATGATTCAACACTAGCGTTTAAAAGTCAGATCTTGTTCTCTGTGCTGAGTGAAGTAGATGTTTACATTGATTATACGACAGTAAGGGTTTGTCCTGTTGCTTCCTATTTTGGATGGCTTTGGTATCCTCATCTGTGCCCTCTGTAATACGAAGTATGTTGTCCAGGCAAGCGATGGGGGAAAACTTCCTTTAGATTATTCCTTCTGATGGTAACTTTTGCTCGTCGTCATTCTGTTGACTTTCTTCATAAAGTCTATCTTCTCAATATTCACCTGGTGTCCTGCTTTCACTGTCTTTTCTGTCAGCTTGTTGGTTTTAGCTTATTATTCTTCGATTTTTTGTGATAAAATTCATAAATCTAGGAAATCCATATTTTCTAGCCGCTTCGCCGTCACAAATTAGGCTTGTTTCCTGCCTCCCCAGGATCTGTTTCATGGTTCACTCCACTACGGTGATATTAGGCAGTCTTGACTTAATTCTGTTTTCAATTCTAACGTTTGCGTAAATTTTTCACGTGAATTAAACTGGCAGAACGGTTAACTAAACTTTTTTATCACTTTGACGTGGTCAGTCATTATTATTATTCCCTTGGGTTCCAGGTGGAAAATAGGGTTTCAACAATACATCTCTACTTCCTTCTATTTTTTGCTGTCCTCTTCAACTGGGCACACGATTGACCATAATCTTTAATCTTCCCCTCTCACGACCTCCTCCTTATAACCACGGGACGAACCATTAGTCGCTTCTCATTGAGATTCCACTAGAACTACGGCCTGCACTAAGCGCGATGTCATTCGACGGCCTCCTCAGAGTATGCCCAATCCATCTCCATTTTCTCCTACATATTTGTTGACCAATCAGCGCTTGGTTGGTTTGTTCCCAGGCAGAGTTTCTTGTTTCTAATTCTTCCTTGCCGGCTATTTGATCTTCAGTATGGAGCCAACGAAGCGGGCAGCTGTTGATGAAAGTCTTCAACTTGTTGGAAATCCTTTTCGTGACCCGCTCGCCAAGTTTCTCACTCATATGGAATAACTGACTGCCTTCATATTTGTGTTGAAAACCCGAATCTTGTTGTCTATGCTGAGTTAGTGCAGAAGATTTTCAAACTGGTTTTAAAGTTGTTGAAGACGTTTCTTGCCTTTCTGTTGCTGGCTTCGCGGTCAGTTAGAAGATATTTACTTTAACTGCCAAGATGAAGAACAGAAATAGAAAAAAAAGTTGTCCTAATGATTGTTATTTACTATTTCTCTTTCTAGATACTGTAGCAACGGTATATACTACACAGTTAAAGAAAACAACTCCTTATACTGTGTAAGAGGAAGATGTAATAGCAAGGCTTTTTGTGGTCCCCTAGAAGTTCCAGATGAATATTCAGCTGTAAGTAATTCTTATGCAACTGCAATTCTTTGACCCAAACAATCTCATTCCAGGGTGTATCATGTTCAATTAGTTTGTAAATTATATCACAGAGGTGCACTCTTAGCACCTTTTTAATGTATTCAACAAAGCACAGACAATACAGGAAAACAGTTCATATATTCCGTCTAAAGGGCTTCATTTATCAGTATTTGTCACAGTAAATTTAGTCTTATATTAAAACTGAACTATATATGACCACTATGACCCATTAAAATAAGGAAGTGTAAATTCTGACTAATTTTAATAGAACATGCGCACCTAGAATGTGATGAATGAACCACAGTTTAATGATTGATAATGGATGAAAATTTGTACGGATTTATCACTAAAAATACCACTGCTACTGATGAGTAGATGGTCGCTTTTTTCTAAGTGAACTTTCTATTTAAGTTAAGCTTCATTGGCAGGCGTAGGTACGGTAAGTTCACTTAGCTTCTAATGAATACATCTGAAATATTTAATTGAATTTTAGATTTTCTCGTCGATTGATTCCACAGAAGTGTTCGGTGCTCAGGTTGACATGTCGGCTTCCTGTCCAGATGCTTCGACAATGTCTGGGCATGTAATTAGAATGTAATTGATGGATGGTTACTAGCAGTAGAATCCAGTCAGGATGTGCATTTCGTCCTATTTGAGATTCGTCAGCTACTGTATGTACCTGCATTCCCCATCACTCACTGATTATACTTTCCGTTGTGATTTAACATAATCAGTTCATTTTGTATATCAGAAATCTGCCAGCCTGTTTGTACTACTGGGCTACATAATTTTACTTACAGTATATTGGGTCACATTTAACTGAGTTATAGTTTTTGATTCAACTACCTTTTTACGTCCTTGAAGGATAATATGTACTCATGTGCATATCACTTGGTGTATTTTAAAGGCAGAAATACGTCACGAGTTGGAAAATGTTACACATAGGACAGAATTCCATCAAACGATATAAGTATAGATGATTGTTTCACTTGACGATTCTGTATAACGAGTAGATAAATTCAAGCTAAAAAAATTTTGCATCGTTCACACGTGCTGCTTAGAAACAAGCCATTGTTTTTATTATCATTATTATTATTGTTCCCTTGGGTTCCTAGTGAAACACAAGGCTTCAACTGCACGTCTCCACTTGCTTCTGTCTTCTGCTGTACTTTTCACTTGCATCCATGTTAGTCCATACTGTTTCAACTCTTCTTCACACGATCTCCTCCATGTCACCCTTGCACTGACGAACCACTCGCCGCTTCCCTTTCGGGTTCCACTCGAGCAATGGCCTGACGCGCGATGTCACCCAGCGGCCTCCTCAGCGAGTGTTCCAATCCATCTCCACTTTCTCCTGCATATTTGTTGAGCGATTGGTTCTTGTTTTGTTTGTTCCCATAGTTTCTTGTTGGTGATTCTTTCCGGCCATCTGATCTTCAGTATAGAGCGAAGACAGTTGTTGATAAAGGTCTGCAACAGGCTGTTGGAAATATTCTTTGTGACCCGCCAAGTTTCTGATCCGTCTATAGAAGAACTGACTGACTTGACGTTTGTATTGAAAATCCGAATTTTGTTGTTGATGCAGGCTGAGTGACGAAGATTTCCAGATTGGTTTCAGGTTGATGAATGTGTTTCTCGCCTTTCCGATTCTCGATTTGACATCCTCGTCCGTTCCTCCTGTAGTTGAGACAATGCTCCCTAGATAAGTGAATGAAGTAACCTCTTTCAAATCCCTCCCGTTGATGGTGATTGGCGCTGTATGTTGCTGCTGCTGTTGTTGTTGTTGGTTGGTTGGTTATTTTCATAACCTCCGTCTTGTCTATGTTCACCTGGAGTCCTGTCTTCACCGGCTGCTTCTTCGACCAGTTTGTCGGTTTTCGCTTGTAAGTCTTCGATTTTGTGTGACATCAAACATAAATCATCCACGCGCGAAATCCAGGTCTTCTAGGTTCTTCACGTCGGTCCAGGATATCCCTGTCTTCTCGTTTCCCACTGTCTGACGCATAATCCAGTCCAGGACAATTAGGAATATCATTGGTGATAATAAGCACCCTTGTCTGACTCCTGTGTTTACTCCAAACGCCTCGGTGAGTTTCCCGCTGTGGTTCACTTGACATGTGCCGTTGTCGTACAGCTGTTGAATAAGGTTGATGAATATTTGGGGTACGCCGTAGTACTCGAGTAGTTTCCAAATTACTTCGCGGTCAACGCTGTCGAAGGCCTTCTCAAAGTCTATAAAGTTGAGGTAGATGTTTGATTGCCATTCCATGCTTTGTTCGAAGAAACAAGCCATTATATAATTATTATTACTAATTGAAAATAATTTTGTTTAAAAAGGAATGTTTTGAACAATACAATAACGTTTTGTACCGATACTATCATAATGGAACTGGTATACCAGGAAACGGTTATGTACTAATCGTTGATGCAGCCCAAAGAGGACCATGTTCAGGTTCAGGTCCAGCAGCATACGCTGGACCATGTCATATGGATCCTGTAACTGATAGGTAAATGATGATTACATTTTATCTAACTTTCATGACAAAGCATATTATTAATAATAAAACTTTATTTCAGACAGTATGCAAACATATGGTACAAACATTTTCAGCGTATTTAGTTCTCAAGTATTGGTTTTGTAGGGATTTCGTTTGATTGTATGGAGGATTTCATCATGAGCTGACATCATTTAGAGAACCCCTGGAAAACCTGGGAGTACTGGATTGCTATTTCGTCCTAGTCTGGGACCCTTCAGCAATAAGCATCCACCGGTGTACTGATTTTTATTATTATTGTATCCTTTAATTCCTACAGGAACATAGGGCTTCAACCGTGCGTCTACATTGCGTTCGGTTCTCTGCTAGAGTCTTCACCTGGCTCCATGTCTGCCCACACGTTTTCATCTCCTCTTCACATGACCTCCTCCAAGTCACCCTCACACTGATGACCAACTCGCCGCTTCCCACTCTGTCGGGTTCCACTCGAGCAATGGCTTGTCTAGTGATGTCACTTGATGGTTTCCTCAGAGTATGGCTAGCCAATCCATCTCCATTTCCTCCTGCCTATTTGTTTCACAATCGGTTTTGGTTGGTTCGTTCCCAAAGATCCCTGTTGCTGATCTTTTCTGGCCATCTGATCTTGAGTAGTATTGAGCGAAGACAACTGTTAATGAAGGTTTGTAGTTTGTTTGATGTGCTCTTTATGACGCGCAGTGCAAGTCTCTGATCCGTTTAGTGAGTAGCACTGACTTCACATTGGAGTTGAAAATCCGGATCTTATTTTTGATGCTGAGTGTTGTTGACCTCCACACAGACTTGAGAGTAGTGAAAGCTTGTCTTGCTTTCCCGATCCTCACTGCTTTGATATCCTCGTCAGTTCCGCCTGTAGTTGAAACGATGCTTCCCAGATAGGTAGGTAAAGGAGGTTGTTTCTTTCAGGTTCCTCCCATTTTTGCTGATTGTTGTCAGTTGTTGTTGTTGTTGCTGTTGATGGTGTTGCCCAGGAATTTTCATCACCTCTGTTTTATCTATGTTCATCTTAAACGCAATGCATAAATAAAACATCTTTCCATTCGTTTTTTAGGCCAAATGTTGGATATGTGAACTTATGTCCAAGTCAGATGGATGTAACATATCCAGGTGTTAAGAGTTTGGCAGGAGTTATAATCCATGAGATCGGTCATGCACTGGTAAGTAAATTTTGCAGTTTTGTTTTCATTAATGTCGTGTGTCAACTACAATAAAAATTAGAACGCTTCTTTGAAGTCTGAAATATGGTATGAATAAATCGGGTGTCGTATTATTTTTTTTCCTTCACGTTCCCCGTGGAACATAGGGCTTCAAGCTAGTGGCTTGAAGTTTCTGTAGCAATGTCTATTTTACAGGATGGGGTTGCTAGCCACCTCATGCCCAACCTTTCCTCTTCACCAGCATTATTTCTGGTTTAATAAAAAGGTAAAGGAGTGCGTCGGTGACCGGGGATCGAACCCCAGACCATGTGCATGGTTGGCGAGCGTCCTAACCGCTATGCCACCGACAGTGTCGTATTAAGCCTCATTCATCTATGATTTGTAAGCTAAATTCATTCGCACAGATTGTAGACCACATAGTTTGAAAGCTGAAGGTGATTTGGATATGACACATATTTTTTTTAGTGTAATTTTCAAATATATTTTTAAAGTAAATCCGCATGAATGTGTTGAATATTTACATTTTATATATATATATTTTAGGGATTTCTATCCAGTAGTTTTCCATTTATGCGTGATCAAAAAGGGAATCCTAGGACAAAAAGAGGTGCTGATAAAATGCCAATATATAAGGACAGCAAGGGAAATTATCTTTCAAGGTAAAACATTCTTAAATATTTTTAAAAAAATGGATAATGTAACAACATGAAAGTTAATCCCTAACACCTATCTCATTATGACAAAATCATTCATTCCACATTTGTGATTTTGGCCAAGTGAAACTTTATTATTATTATTGTTCCCTTGGGTTCCTAGTGGAACACAAGGCTTCAACTGCACGCCTCCACTTGCTTCTGTCTTCTGCTGTACTTTTCACTTGCATCCATGTTAGTTCATACTGTTTCAACTCTTCTTCACACGATCTCCTCCATGTCACCCTTGCACTGACGTCCCACTCGCCGCTTCCCTTTCGGGTTCCACTCGAGCGTTGGCCTGACGCGCGATGTCACCCGGCAGCCTCCTCAGCGAGTGAGTGTCCAATCCATCTCTACTTTCTCCTGCATATTTGTTGAGCGATTGGTTCTTGTTTTGTTTGTTCCCATAGTTTCTTGTTGGTGATTCTTTCCGGTCATCTGATCTTCAGTATAGAGCGAAGACAGTTGTTGATAAAGGTCTGCAACAGGCTGTTGGAAATATTCTTTGTGACCCGCCAAGTTTCTGATCCGTATAGAAGAACTGACTGACTTGACGTTTGTATTGAAAATCCGAATTTTGTTGTTGATGCAGGCTGAGTGACGAAGATTTCCAGATTGGTTTCAGGTTGATGAATGTGTTTCTCGCCTTTCCGATTCTCGATTTGACATCCTCGTCCGTTCCTCCTGTAGTTGAGACAATGCTCCCTAGATAAGTGAATGAAGTAACCTCTTTCAAATCCCTCCCGTTGATGGTGATTGGCGCTGTATGTTGCTGCTGCTGTTGTTGTTGTTGGTTGGTTGGTTATTTTCATAACCTCCGTCTTGTCTATGTTCACCTGCAGTCCTGTCTTCACCGGCTGCTTCTTCGACCAGTTTGTCGGTTTTCGCTTGTAAGTCTTCGATTTTGTGTGACATCAAACATAAATCATCCACGCGCGAAATCCAGGTCTTCTAGGTTCTTCACGTCGGTCCAGGATATCCCTGTCTTCTCGTTTCCCACTGTCTGACGCATAATCCAGTCCAGGACAATTAGGAATATCATTGGTGATAATAAGCACCCTTGTCTGACTCCTGTGTTTACTCCAAACGCCTCGCTGAGTTTCCTGCTGTGGTTCACTTGACATGTGCCGTTGTCGTACAGCTGTTGAATAAGGTTGATGAATATTTGGGTAAGTGAAACTTTAAGCACCACTAACTGCCAATGGAGTGCGGCCGCACCAGTGACGTTGAAACACTCACTGAGCAAATTAGTGAAACCTGGCAAATTATGTTGTCATCATCAATAAAATATGCTTATCGAAGTGTTATGCTATTAAATGGGACATCAGGCAAATTATAGCTTATATTTGGGAAAGATTAAGTTACGCTTTAAGCAAAGGGAAAGGTTAGGGTAAGGTTAACCTAATAAAGGCGACATTATGGTTGGTTCGAGATTACAGTTAGTTAAGGGATATTTTCACGTTAGAGTTAGGTTCAGGAAAGATTAGGGTTACTGTTAGGATTAGAAGACATAAATGATTACATGAATAGAATGTAGATACAACAATAGAACTTGTGCACTGTGGTAGAGTATAATTCCGTTGTGGGTTAAATTTATTTTGATAAAGTCTCACAGTGTTATTCAGTAACATTTACTGATGACAACGTTTCAGCACAATTTTTGCTCAGTATATATTACTGTACAACAGTATGAGACTTTTTCAAAGCAAATATTACCCACAATGGAATTACATTCTGTTGATATTCCAACTTATAACTCAAAGGTGCTTTTATCACAGTTTTTATGCATTTTTTCATGAAAATTTGTATTCCATACACATTTGTGCGTTCGAGGTCATTCGCTGACTGGTAGTTAGTGGTGCTTAAAGTTTAACTTTGCCGTAATTTTAATGTTTTGATTGGAAGAATTATTGACACCCTAAGCTCTCGGTTGATGAAATAATATTAGGTGCTCAGTTATGTCTAACCTTCACTGTATTCAAATTACAAAATAAACTATACAAACAAACGAATGGGTTGGCAATGGGATCATCAATATCCTCAACAGTAGCAGATCTATTTATGGATGTTTGGGAACATAAGGCTCTTAGAACGTTTAATCCTGCCCTTCACTCCTAGATTATGGTGGAGATATGTGGATGATACATTCCTTACAGTGTTGAAATCTGAATATATCCCTCATTTTTCCACTCATATAAACTCAATGGTAGACGGAATTCAATTCACTTGTGAGTAGAAAACGAACAGTGTGAGTTGGTCATGTTATATAATGTTGAATAAAACGAAAACAAGATGGTGGGTTAGATAGTAGCATTTATAGAAAACCGACACACAACCAGAATCGGTAAATACAGGTTTAGTCAAATGTTTGTTTAATCGGGCCAAGAACCCAAATAGTAAACCAGAATATTTAAATAATAAAATAAAGCAAATAAAGGAGGTATTTCTGGTGAATAAAACCCTTCAGAATTTATTCAAAAATGTACATGAAGAACCATAGAAGAATTAAGGTAAGCAATAAAAACAACGAAAATATTACAGAGTTCAAAGCCTCTGTAGTATTTCTGTACAAAGAAGAGACGTCAGAGTCCTTATGCAGGATTCTCAAAGAGGCTGGAACTAGGGTGGCATCTAAACCAACCAACCAACCAACTGTCTCAGAGATAAACTTTGTCAGCTTAAGAATGCAATAGGTCCAATTATGAAAAATAACAGAATTCACCAAATACCATGTAGTGCTGACTTCGAGGTCAACTATATAGGCCAGTCTAACTAGTAGAATAATTGACCCTGATAAGTTAAACAACCTAGAAGAAACAGAGCTCAGCCATTTCATTGCATTGCATTCACTTGCATGTAATCACAAAATAGGGTGAGTGGGACGGGATGACGATATGAAAAAGTAATATATTTACGTGGAGTGAGAGAGAGAGGTTAATCAGTGAAGCTTTGTTTATCGATTCAACACCGCACCAGTACAATCAGGATGACGCAAAGCCTATACCGGAGATATGGAAAGTGGCGACAAACAACAAAGGAAAGTTGGATAGATAGAAAGAGAGTAAATATAAGTATAAGACAAATTGTGAAACCGTATGACTAAAATTGACATGATGATTTCGAG